GACAAGAACAGGTAGCCAAGCTCAAACTGCCGAAGGCAACATCCGACATCAGGAGATGTCAGCAGTTTTCCTAGCTTTAGGGAGTTGCAGGGCCCACAGCTTGTCCTGTGAGCCACTTTAACTCAGCGACGCCTGGGTAGTGGCTTTCGCCGTTCAGGCGGCAAAAAAGCGTCGTGGCACATGCCAGTGGAGTCTTTCAAGGATCTCCTGGAAGCTTTAGGGTTCAAGGCTCATGAGTTTTTTGGGGTGTTGAGGTTTGATTCGGGCTGGGATCGGTATACACGATGATGGTGTTCTTATATGCATTTCCTAGGGAACCTTCTGTGAATCACGAGAGGTGCTTTCTGAATATATTAGTGGGCATTAGTGGTGTGTTGGTGTTAGTGGCTGCTTCGTGCGTGGTATGTTGCACCTGTATGAAGGGAGTACTATTCCCTTAAGGTCCCTATATGGTTGGTTATACTATCAGCGCCAAAGTTTCAACGCCTCATTCTACTGATTGATGCAGGCTATATTGTGCGGCAGTAGAATTACTCACCGCTGTCGCCGTATTTGCTCTTCGAGGTGTCTCTTGCGATGCACTCTGTGGCTGTTGAGTTCTAGATTCTGGATGCGAGGGCAGCTTGAAGCTGGAATACTTAGAGGTTCATGGGACTTAGTAACTAGGGTTATAAATAAGGTAACTAGACTTATAGTTACTTATCACATTAGGGTACTTATAACCTTACTTACTAAGTCCCATGATCCTCCAAGTAGGCCCGGCAGTGCAGCTGCTGCTCACTGTTGGACATCTTGTCGCAGCCCCGGAGCCGACCTTCGGAGTTCATCCTTCGAATTACTGCGACAAAGCCAGAATCCCCAAGACCCTACAGAAGCCCTGCACCCCCTAAGCCCAAAAAAGCCCTACACTCCTAAACACCAAAACTCCAAACCGCCCAAACCCCCAACCCTCCAACATCAAAGCCCCTATACCCTAAACCCTAAACCCTATACCCGAAACCCTAAACCCTAAATCCTAAACCCGAAACCCTAAACCCTGAACCCGAAACCCTGAACCCTATACCCCGAAACCCTTTAAATCCTAACCCCAAAGCCGCCAGAACTCACGAGAGCCTGACGAGGCCTTGGCGGCGGAAGCTCGAGCCGCCAAGGCCTGGATAGATCTTGGAAGATCCTTAGGGTTTAGGTTTTAGGGTTT